TATACTCTATAATCATACTTAGATTATTATGTTCTCGTTGACTATTATTAAAACTATATTAGATTCATATAGATCAAATCAAACTAGAAAAATTCAGACCAAATCTTATTATTTGTGCTTGCTTATTACCAAAAATTTGTACTTGTTATTGAAATAATATAAATCAAGACAAATCTAAAAAGATTTCACTTGATTTATATTCTATTTATATGTTAACATGCAAATACGGTCAATGTTCGACCGAAACAGACTATACCGAAAAAAAAATGGAACAATCATACTTTAAAAGAATTAAACCTAAACTCATTATTTCAGATGAAGAAAACACAACCCAACCCTATAGTCCATGCATGTTGGTCTTGTTTCTTTTGCCTATGCTGGAAAAACTAAATTAAGCTCAAAATTAGTCAAGAAAAGGCCAATCAATATAAATTAGACTCAAAGTTTGAAAGAGATAATGAATGGCTAATTAATCTATGACCATATATTAATTTAGCTATAAACTTATACGCATGCACTTAGCCGTTCTAATTGATCCGAATCTTTTGATAGATTATTAACTGCCCATACTTCTTAACAACAGACAATTGATCCTAACCTAAACATAGGTGTGGCTACTTATGAGTGGTTTTACTTTTTTTTTTTGCTAGAAAAAAGTAATAAAAGGAAGGAATTCTCTGAAGAGATAGCCAAACAATCCAATTGTAATGTACGGAGTATCATCTATGCACATATAATTATGTTCCACCGTGTTAGTATTGTTAGGCTCTTTTCTCTTCACCATAAAATAATAATATTCAATAAAAATAAGTTTGTTTCAGCAATAATAACTATACTTCAGTAAAAATTAGATTAGTGCCCGTGCGATGCATGGTAGTAATAATATTTTTTTCAACAATATAATTAATTTGTGATTAATATAAAAATGAGGCAGCTCATGTGGAATAAACAAATGCAATGCGTATAAGAAAGATGAAATAATAAGGCAAATATTATTAAAACTACAATTGAGAAAAAAATTATTTTTGATTAGTTGTGTTGAAAATATTTAAAAATCGTATACATTATATTACATTAATGATACATGTTATTCCCAATAAAACTATACAATGTAGATGTCGTATGACTTTTTATTAATAATTAATTTAGTTAAAAAAAATACTATACAGCGTAATTCCAAAAATAAGCTAAGTAGAATAATTTTTTAAAAAAATTTAAAAGTTGACATCATATATTGTATCGATGGAAAATTTCTTAATGATAGCTTGACATATGTCCAAATAATCGTTGTAAGCATGACTTGTTTTAGAAATAGTTAATAGATTTTTTGAAGGAAAAAAAAGTTATAAGTTGGTAAATTTATTTCAGAAATGTTTAGCAGAAAGCTAACTAAACTATTATTATATCATAAGATTTCAAATCAACACCATGAATAGAAATGGGTTTTTTTTTTTTTTTTTTTTGAACCCTACTATTGTACAATTATATAATGGTAATTTAAATGTTAATATTGTATTTTTGGCTCCATTATTTTATACTCTCCACCATATTTCAACCTTCTAAATTATAGCTTATTCTCCCTTAATTAAAAGGTCTCAAAATCTTGTGTAACTATTTTAAGCAAATTGAACATGAAATAAAAAGGAATAAATATATAAGATTAGGAATAATATATTATTATTTTTGTATTATACAAATATTCCAAAAATAAAAGATATTTCCTAAATAGGGAGGAGGCGTTTTGAAAAGAAAAAACAGCACCAGGAAGTGACATGTGTCATTCCTGGTGTCTGTTGTTTTAGTATTATGTTATTGATGATTATATGAATCAATTTAATTATTACTTTTTTTGGCTAAACCTTTTAATACTCTGTTTAAAAGATAATAAAAAAAAATTGGAATAACATTTTACGTAAATGTGTATGGAAGATTTAAGGACACCAATTAAATTAGAATACAATTATTATAAAGATAATATAAAAGATTTGGAAAAATATTATTATAGTGATATTAGAAAAATATTCCAAAAAATAACGATTTTGACTAAAAAGGAAGGGGGAGTTTTGGAGGGAAAAAACAGCACCAGGATGTGACACGTGTCACTCCCAGTGTCTGTTGTAGTATTATGTTATTGATAAGTTTTAATTAGTAAAATTCAGCAACTTTGAAGAACAAATATAATAGGAAAACAGTTAAAATAAGTTTTAAACAATAAAATAATTTCAGTTCAGCAATAATAAGTGAAGTTAACAATGCTTAAGCTTTAGTGTAGACTAGCTTTTTAGTTCACTATATAATTCTTTGTTAGTTTGATCATAATTAAGGAACCTAAGTTATTTTATTGAGATGAAAAAATTGATATTTACTACCAGTTATATATAATAACATATCATACCCATTGGTAGTTTTAATACCAAGACTTGATATTTTATTAAAGTCTTGTGTTATGATAATAGTTTGAGGGGGATGCTCGGTCATAAAATTACATCCAATCTTATATTACATCAAGTACATGTATAAAAATATACAAGTGTACTAATTAACCAATCTTTAGTCTTACTATGATATGCTAGCATATTTCAAATACAAAATAAAATTAATGTCATTACTTTGGTGCTGGTTTATGCTCACTTTATAGATCCATTATATTTGATGCACATTTAAGTTATGAATGCTTTCAAGGGTAATCAAAGTTCTAGTGATGACACGCTAAAAGTCGCACAATATATTCCTTTCACTTGAGTAAATCCCCTAAATTAATATTCTAACTTTATATTTTATTTTTTTGGATGAGATTTTTGTATATACTTGTCCATTGATTTAATTTGTATATATTAGCCCCAACTACTAAATTTTCTACTAAGGCCATGTTTTCTTTACCTTAATAAAATAATATGCAAATAAATTTAGTCCAGTTCAATAAAAAATAAGTTTAGTTCGATAAAAATAATTCATTTCAATAATAATAATAATTTTTATAGTAGTTAATTTAGTACCTCTAAAGAGAAAATGTAATAGAGAATCAATAAAAATAAGTTTTAATTTGTAAAAATAGTTTCAGTTGTAAAATAAATTTTAGTTCAATAAAAATAATTTAAATTTAGTAAAAATAATTCAATTGAGTGAAAATAATTTTAATTCAGCAAAAATAAGGTGAAGAGAACATGCCTAATAGCGTGATGAAACAATTTTAAGGGATAAAATTCAGATAAGTATAGGAAAATGTAGTACAACTTTTCACTTATTCCTTTATATTTCTTTGAGCTCATATGCTTAATATATGTCAAATAAGATAGCAAATCAGTGTCACATAACTTGTCGTAATATATATACGAGTATATGTTTCAAGAACATGATATCTTTATGTTGGAATATTAATAGCTAGAGTGATTGTTAACTTAGCTCAAAGGATAATAAAAAGCCATGCAAGCTGCATGCTGCATCAACAGGAGAAAGTGAATCTGGGACTATTTAATTCATAGTTTCATACCACATAATTACATAAAAACTTGTTGATCAAGCTCCTGAGTATCCAGGTTTAATTACAATTTTTTTAATTTTAATTAATATATATATATAACATAATATAATAACAATACTACTTTGTAATATACTTAGAATTCATTTTTTTTATACATAAGATAATGTACGTAATTTAATTTCATTTTCTTTCTCTCTCTAAAACGAGCTCTTTAATGCTCAGAATTTTGAAGTAATTTTACAAAACTTTAAATGTTACCAGAGCGAGTGATTAATTGAATAAAATATGTAATCACTTTCACAAGAAATTATTGTTTGTTTGTTTATTATTCAAAAAAGAAAATATTGAAACTACTAAAAGAGATTTTTTTTATTTTTACCACCTTAAAATAAAAACCCAACTTGCAGGTTGTTTTTTTATCACCCAATTAGATAAAAATTTGTATATTTTAATCATTAAAAAATTTATTTCTAGAATATAAGTAACTGATTAGGTATTGTATTGCTTCTTGGAAATTTTGCGATCTCTTGGAAATCCATGAAACGAGGAAATATATTGAAGGTTTCCTCAAAAGATGGATTTCGGGCAATAGTTCAAGTTGCAAGATGAATTATTTAGGGTTTATAATTTGAGTAAAGAGTAAGAGTTATACGAGAATCAGAATGAAAAGTTAGAGGATATTAGATAAAAAGGGCTCATGAGGTAACCCTTTTTTAAGAGTCCATGATTTGGTAATCCTTTAAAAGCCCGCCCCATTTATATGTTGGAGTGGCAAAATCCGTTTATAAACAAGTTTAGACAGGGCTTTTAATGGGCCCTTGACCCATTGAACAGGTTACTTGAAGAATTGGATGTGAATAATAAACCTAAAGGCTAAAGCCTATAAGGATACATTGTGACTTTGTGAGTTGTGACAATCCATCAGTTTTTCAAATACGTGGTAGCTAAAATTCATGTGTTACATGAAAGAACACATACAGTGGATTGTAACTTTACTAGCTATTGAAAAAGCATTGGGTTAAGCAGCTTAAGCTACATTGCAACTGAACATCAACTTGATGATGTATCTAAAAATATAAAACACAATGATTTAGCAAGCAAATTTGGAGTGGTACACAGGTACCACTATCTTTTACAGTGTAGTAAAGAAGATTGTGGATTGCTGTGTCTCATGCCAAGCCCATGATGCAGCATCAGATAGGCTAGGCTTGGTCCACAGTCGAGCCAGCAGCTATGTAGCATGCCTAAATTTCTAAATATGTGGCTTAAGTATAACCCTAGTCCACATATATTTATTTTAATGAGCATTTTTTTTTTGTCGTGTTGGGTCATGTTTTTACTCTTGTTATCATGGTCCAACTCACATTTTAAATGTTGTATCATGTCTATTTCGTTTTTGTGTTGTATTTTTTCATGTTAGCTCATGTCATGTCACGTGTCAACTCAACCTAATGTCATCTTTACTTTTAAAATTAAAATATCTTAGTTATAATCAAACATTTTTAAAGAATCATGTAAATTTTGCAGGCAAAAGATAAAAATTTCTTCTCCTTAATAGGTGGTGTATCAAGAGCTTACAATACCTTTTTTCTTGGGTATTACTTTACAAATCTCCAGTTGCCCAAAAGTAAAACAAAAAAAGCCTCTTTAAAGTACTACATTATTCACTCACTTGCTGCTCAAAGCATAAGACTCCCGATTTTTTTTAAAAAAAAACAGGCATGACAATTGGTAGATAATAAGTGAAAACATCAACATAATTAAAGAAAAGTAATTAATTATGGAAATGAGCTCTTGCAACACAACAACAAGTGTCAATAGCAATACATCTGCCAGTTGAATGTGAAACTTTGTTCCTGCAGTCTGAAGAGCATTGAGGGATTGAGCATCTCTCCATTTCCACTGTTCCAAATGCACATAACTGGCACTCTCCTGATTTCAACCCTATTTTTGATGTGAAAAAAAAATAAATAAACCACACTATATTAGAAATTTAGAATACATAGTAGTTACTATTTCATTGTTTTAGTTAAAATCATGATACAGTGTGTTATATTCACATGATTTTCATTTTTAAACTTATTAGAATTTACCTTATTGTATAGGTTGGATTTTAGTATTCCTTATTAATCTTTATTTGAACTTTTTTATAGTTTGTAGAATTTATCGACCTTTGCCAGTATCTATTAAAATGATATAAGATGAACATAACATAACCTTGTTGACTCAACTGATGTCCCAAATAGTTGCCTCTCGATGCTCAAATTATGTGAACCTTAAATAGCAAGTGCTAAGTCGCTAAACAATTAAAAGATTTTCTGATGGGCACACAATAACATTTAAAAGATTCCTCATACTATATAAATTTCCTTTAAGATTCATCATTCTCATACCCTATTTTATAGTTTTTCATTTAATTATGGCGAAAAAAAAATTATTTTTGTACTTTAACATGTGTTACCTCATGGGTATACGAGCTACACATTAGACAGACAAAATGATATAAAAGCAATATATCACATCTATTTTACTTTAGAAAATATTTGCAAACAATATATATACATAATAACATATTAAGGGGAAAAAAATGGAAAATTCTCTTTGGTAACACACAACTTTCTCTTTTTCTCTTTGGTAAATTGCAAAAATTCCAATTCTTTTTGGTAATCTTGTATAATTAATTTATTGCTTATAACATTAATAATTATTCTTTTATTAAAATTCTAACCATAGTTAGAGTTGTTTGGTTAATTTAATCAATTTTCAATAATAAAATAAATCATTTTAAAAAAGAATTTTTGTAAAAAAAAAACCCAAACCCCTTCCCCACCTAGCCACCACCACCAGCTCCCTCCCCGTGCCGGCGGCCAGACGCCCCACCTCTGGCTCGCGACGCCCGACCTCCCCCACCCCTGGCCGACGAAACCTAGCCTCCCTCACCCCCACCTCCTCTTTTCCCCCCTTAGCGACCCCACAACCTCCCATTTCCCCCACCCAATGCCCCATCGGCGACCCTGACCCTACCCTAAACTACCCCTAAAACCCGGCCCCCTCCCAAACGACCACTCTCCCTTGTTTGCCGATCCGGAATCCCTAAACCACACCCAAAAAACCACAAAATCCAAACTCGTTTAGGGTTTTAAAACCAGACCTAGAGAACAGGTTTGAGTATTCTGGTGGTTTTGGGTTTCTATAGTGGTCGGCACGGGGACGCTAAGGAGTCGTCGGACAGGGTGGGGGAGGCTGGGCGTTGCCAGTCGGTGGTGGGGCGCCTAGCCACCAGCATAGGGAGGGGGTTGCTGGTGGCATGTGGGGTGGGGGAGGGGTTTGAGATTTTTTTAAAAATTATTATTATAATAATTTAATTATTAAAAAAATAAAAAACTAACTATAGTTAACGATTTTTATTAAAATAACACTTATCAATGGTAACCAATAACACAAGATTACCAAAGAGAATTGAAATTTTTGCAATTTATCAAAGAAAATTTGAGTGTTACCAAAGAGAATTTCCCAAAAAAAAAAAAAAAAAAAAAAAAAAAAAAAAATGGACTTTGTAGCATATTAATAAATAAATTTGGGATTTATTCAAAAAAATAAAAAATAAAGGAATTTGGGTAGACAAAAGAAGCTTGAAAAAAGAAAAGCTATAAAAAAAAATTATATATAGCAATTAAAATGAAACTTACCAAATGAAAATAGGAAGATAGCAAGAAAGAGGAGTGTTGCTATAGAAGAGGTTTTCATTTTTGGAAACATAGATTCACTTTGTTTACATTTTTCCTCTTGTTTGAGCTATAAATAGCAATTGAAAAAGAACTATGTACTAAAAATAACAAGTAGCTCATAATTACTCATATAATGGTTGTGCACTTGTGCACTTAGGCTAATTAAATTATACAAAAGGAAGTTTTGTGGATTTAAGACTATTGGATAGACCTACTTTGTGCGCTGTTAGTAGCATGATATGGTCCTATATATCATAAACGTAATTTTTAATTTAAATTAACTAATTAATAAAAGGTCGCATAAATAACAATAATTGTGGTATTTATGCGGCTAAGTGCCTAATATTGGTAAAACCTTTGTTGTATTCTTGTTGTTTTCTATTAAATGATTATTGTAAATTCTAGGATGTCCTAGTCATACACATGCATTTCGTCGTTTCTTTGAAAATCACTTAGTAGAATATTGATAATTTGATGTGGATAAGCTAAGAAACAAAGAGTAACCATCTATTGCTATTTTGTTGCGCTTCATCTCCACTCTTCTATAGTCTCTATGTGCACCTCTTAGGTGCTTGTTTCTTTCCATTCCCACTTTGCACTTTAGGCATTAAGGTTTCGCCTTATTTGTTTGCGTTTTGTACTTTTTAGTTTGTCTGTCAAAACTACCAATAATTTATAGCCCTTATTTGAACTAATATTTCGTTCTTATAACTTATATATGCAATTCAAATGAAAAGAAAAAACATTTAATCAATCATGAATGATGCATATTGGCATGTGTTTAACAAAATTATACCCTATACTAGGCTATTGTTCATCGATCACTCGTGTAACATTTACAAATTGATAACACCAATCCGCCTACTAATAATTTAAGAAATCATCACTTCGATGTAACATGTTATGTTCTTTTTCTCCAACTTTCTACTCGTTCACCATTTGACATCAATGATACGACTCGATAAGGAAACTAAACTACACTCGATTGTAAGTCAGTCACATACAAGAAAACTGATTCTTGATAAGGAAGAATGGCAATAAGGCTCACTGAAGATCATATATAATTTTTTTTGGAATTTTAGAGAGTCGTAAGAGCAAGTGATGAGAATCGATCACAGGATCCCCTGAAATTGGGAGTGAAGCTTTAACCAACAGAGCAATCTCATACTAGAAGTAACAAGATGAAGCATTAGAAGGATTTTGTGGTGTTGTTAGGGAGTTAAGGTTATGCTGCCACATGAACAAAAAGCCATTGCCTACTTTCAATTAATCATTACATAGGAAGTCACTTAAACCACCACTTAGAAGAATCACCAATAATAATCAACAGAATCAAAACGATATTGACCAAGTAATAAACAACTTTCCACTTCACACATTGTTTTTTGTAGCATAGTTTTTGCTGGCATCTTTGAGCTAACTAATCAGCTATCCTTGGTATAAAATATATAGATATAGTGCTGCTTCCAACTTCAGTTTTCAACGCCCTTTTCTGGGGTCACCACTTCTCTTGGTCCCTAAATTGATCATCTTTCAAGCGCAAAAAGAGCCAATGGTTATGCAGTCAGGTGGCGTACACCTTTCTTCACTGTTTGAGTGGAGTGCGATGAGTCTGTTTATTGTGAATAAAAAGTCTGTACTTTAGCATCTTACTGCTATGGAACTGTTGCAGATGCGTATCGTGGATTCGAGCCGAGGAAACAAAGTTGTTGGGACGTTTAAATATGAAATTCTATGGTCTGAATGAATGGAAACGACTCAATGAGGTTATTGCCCATTAGGACGTTCTTGGAAATCCTATGTTCTGGATGGAGGGATGATAAACCCATCTCTTGCATGAGTTGAATAGACAATCTCGTGGGCAAATTTTTGATATGTTTTACTAAAACTAATTTTGAGTTTTCAAGACCAACTATGATGATATCTTTAGATTTCAAACCCACGAGATTAGACGATTAAGCTCATCCTTGAGAAGGGGCTACGGCTTTACAAACTCAATTCTGAACATATATGGAGGTTTAAAACTTTAAGAGGAATTGCATTAAATTGTTATTGTTTTTATATTGAACTAGGCAACTCTGTTCAAGTATAATAACTAAGTACATTCTTTTACCAAATATAAATTCTACTCCGTATTACAAAATTTAAATCATACAAAAAAGGACAATAATCAAAAGGCATTAAAAACATTCTTACAACCATATATGGTGCTCTTCTTTCAAAAAGCTATGGTGAATGGACTATTATCTTAGAACTATGAACCAGAAAATAAAAATTAGTTAACTAATACATTCTACAGAACTGGAACATTTTTCACCTCTGTGGCCACTTTCTTGTTTGATTTCTTCCTGTTTTTGCGTTTCTTTTGCTTTTCCATAAGCCTTGAACGATCTTTGACACTCCTCTCCCAGTCTTTTTTGTGCCTCTGGTACAGCAACATAGCTGCACGAGCATCTTCAATCTGAGAGACCACAGATAGGAGCAAAACCCAAGTTAGATTGTCACCTAACACGTAACCACAGAAAGTTCATACACAGCTGGATTGAAATCACAATGCTCTAGCAAGCATCATCAAGGAATCCGATCCAAAAATTTATTCTGATTCCTATTTATAATCCTACTCTAACAATTCTGATTCAATATTGCAGTTTCATGGTAGACTTGGCTTCCAACAGCAATTTTTTTTTCTCTCACAAAGTCATATCCAGGAAATTGGGTGAAAGGCAGAAAGAGCCCATTTGATAGTAGCGAATAGCATTCTCAGAAAAAATAAATAAAGGCCCTCCCCACCTAAGAAGGCTATATTTTAACAAGTCCAGCCCAAGAGATGTGTATAAAAGTAAACATTTGCATTTAAGAGGGTCCATACAGAGCAGAGGGCATATCAGCATAAAACTTGATAACATGAAGCTAACTCTAGCAGGGAGCATCAGCAGATGGATCATGAATTATCCCCACCCACATAATTTTTCATGCAATCTTCTATCTCATACGAATATAAGTCAGGCACCTAGTATACTGGATTACTGATATCTTCTATCTCTTACCTTGTGTTATAAAACTTTCCAGTTCTGTTCATGGAACAAGCACCCAAAGAGGCAGTATCCAGTCCGTTGAATCATTCTACTTGTAAGCTACCTTATTATAATAGCAATAGAAGACCAATACGGGTTCAATAAAGAACCTGAAGCACTCATATGCACCATAATTGGTGTTGTATCTTTAAGAATCAAAAGTCAAACTTCCTAATATTTTTGCCAACTCAGCAAATTGAACTTGGCAAGGAGAAAAGTCCTTTGAATCCCCTCCTTGTCATTTTTAATCTCAATTTACCTCGTTACATCCATACGACAATGAGCCTATTAATTTCTCATTAAATCACAAGTTCAAAGGCGCTCGCCTTCACTTTCTTTTCATCAAATGGTCCAAATACTCCCTATACAGTATACACTTTGTTGCAAATATAATGAGTAACAATGATATCAAAGGACGGTTGAGGGTTTCGGGCGGCCGGTGAGGGGTTTTTAAGGGTTTTAGGGGGGAGGGGGGAGGCAGCGCCGCGGCAGGGAGAGAATTAGAAATCTATACTATATATTAAAACGCGTTTATAAAATTGTGTATGTGCCACGTGTATCCCTTCTTACAAGTATGACGCCCACATCATCATTTAACAACCTTTAGCATCATGCCACATCCTCATTCAATGATCGTAATTAAAAATGCATACAAAGAGATTTGAACCCCAAACCTCATTGAATAAAACCACATGCATTACCATCTTAGATAGAATTAAATCATGCACTATTAATCCACATTTATATATAAATACATACATGTATTAGAATGTAGAATCCAAACCCAAAAAAAATCCAAAATAAGCTATTGTCGTCATTGTATTCTTATTTACCCACGTTAAAAATTTAATAAGTCTTTTAAAGCGCTTAATATAAAATTGAAATTATTCAAAGTATCACCTGGAGCATTGCTCGGGTCACATACTAGTTTAGAACTAAAAGAATTAGAATTTTGCACTGTAATATCACAATGCCTTAGAACTAAAAGAATTATTATGTATTGTGTAGAACTCCAATCATCAATAACTCCCACAACTTGCTGAATTGCTAGGGTTATATGTCAATAGATTCTCCCCTCACCTGACTCCACCACCATGAGGTCTAAACCACACCTACTTCACAAGGGGGCTTCTGGGCTTGGAAGAGCCCTAGTGGTTTGAGCTCAGTAGTGCTACAGGGACCCTTGCATCACCTTTTTGATTAAATTCTAAGTAAAGTTATAGAAGTTTGATAGCTTGACTGAATAAACAGCTCATGGAGTTACAAAGCTAATAATATAATTAAAAAAAAATCACAGCTTTCTTCCAGAAACGAGAACTGACTCAAACGAGAGTCAAATAGGCAATCAGAATCCTTATCACAATCCCAGTTTCCACACTGTTTGACTGTAATATAGAATGCTTTTTCTATATAGATGAAGAAGCAGAAGTATTTCAACCAAAAAAACATAGCTACTCTACACTAAGGCAAAATTAAGTAAAAATCAGTTTTTCTCAGTAAAAATCAGTCTTTCTCAGTAAAAATAAGTTTTTTTTTTTTTTTTTTTTTTTTTTTTTTTAGTAATAATTAGATTAAATCAGAGCTTTAATCAGTAAAAAAAAAAAAAAGAATATAGCATTGGTAAATATAAGTTTTAATCAGTAAAAATAGGGTGATGAAAGCAAGTCTATGATGCATATAACAATTGTGACTTAGTGTAAATAGTGAGCACCCAAAACGTAGCCAATGAACAATCAACGAGTTCGTGATGCACATCACTCCATCTCAACAAGAGAGATAGTAGCAAGATTAACATCAGATTGACAGAATCCTTTCCTCGATAGAATAATAATCAGAAACTATATGTATAGAGTGTTGACAGCTTGACAACCTAGTTCCTACTGTCAAAAATAAATTTATAAACTAAGAAGAAGTCATTGGATGGATCAGGAATTCAGGATAAGATACTCACAGGACAATGCTCTCCATTCTGAATCTCTGCACCAAGAAACTCAGCAGCAAGATGCCGAAGTGCCTTTCTACGACTTTCTCTACTCATTTCAAGAAAAGCAATTAGAACTTTTATAGCAAAATCAAACTCACAGATTTAATTACTTATCATGCATTCCAATGGAGCATACTTTTTTAAATAAATTGGTTCAAGATGAGCAATTCAACTTATATGAAAGGAAAAGCCTAGAAAAAGAAAAGAGTATGAAGCAAGAGACATACTTTAGAAATGGCTGGTATTCTGCAGTGTCACGCAGATCTTTCTTTGGATGACTTAGCAAAAGTGCCTGTTAAGAGATGATTAGTTGAGGTTATAGTTTCAAATGTAAGATGCAGATAAAATCAACAAATATTACAAGTGTGGGCCTGTGGGGGGAAGGGGGGAAACTAACCTTTAGATCATTACGCAAAGCATGGCCAACAAGAATCTTTCCTTTGATCAACTCTGCTACCTTTTTTTGAACTGAAGGAAAATCCTTTGCTGTAGAATCATCCATAAGCAAAATGAGGAGCACTCAACAAAAACAGATACAGGACAAATTATGCCATAACTTATTCAAGACCCAATCACATAATCAATAATTAGTATCTGAAAGAAATTTCCAATTATTATATTATTCTTATCCAATTAAAATTATGCTGACTTCTTAATGCTGTTCAAAAGGAGTAACATGAAGGTTTTGGCTTTTTTCAAACTTGGATGCATGCAAACATCCCAGTTGTGCCTGTATTGCACTTTGTGGACTTAACACAAAGGTTTTGGTTTATTTAAAAACAGTCACTAGCAGGATCTGAGTAAGAAGCCTAGATACAAATATGAAAACAACCACACAAGACATAAGGCTTCAACTCTTCAATACAAATAATAGTGATGCAACAAAAAATGCCCAGCATACCTTTCCTCAAGTCACGAGGTCGGATTCCACTAATTTCTGTTCGGAAGTCAACAACACGATCAATAGGCCGGACAAATTCATCATATACCACATTTCCCCATTTATTTACCTGCCAGAAACTGATGTACATTAAATCATTAATAGGGGACCTAGACACGAGAAAACATATGAACAAGAGAAAGACACATGATGGCATATATGACTATATGAGGGGATGATAGATCAAGGAACAAAGTCCATGAGCTACAAAACATCATTCTACTCCAATGATATATTATGTTAAAAATATACGCACTTGAGAACCTTAAAATCCAAACAAAGAATCAAACCGTAGTTGGAAGCTGTAGCTAGTCTAAAATAGTAGCACTCGAAATTCACATAAAGCAACCAGTCTAACAAATTGTTCATCCCTCAAGTTCAAATAAAGTTCTAAAGCAATTTTATTAAGATGGCATGATTAGGCACAGCTATTGTATTAGGTCAGTTTTTGTTTGTGCATTAATAACATAATTGGTAGTAAAGCCGTTGTATTAGCCTATTAGGTCAACTTTTGCATGTGCAATGGTAAATAAATGGTAATAGGCAGACAAATAAATTATTACTACATCCAAATACTGCAAATAGCTGATACTTTCAAATGGAAAATGCATATAAGTGTACAATAAAAAGAGCTAGATGAAACAACAATGGGAAATTGAATGCATCCTAATAGCTCCTCCAGACAGAAAACAAAAGGTGAATCTACTTTTTGCAAAAGTAAGGAACCACAAAAATTTAGGGTGGAATAACACAAATTCACAAACAACCAGTCATGTCAGCTCAATTACTAAATTCACAAAAATAAAATTTGGATGCAGTACTTTAAAAAGGAAGACAACTTTATATGAATGAATGAACAGATGAGCTTGAATGTGAGAATGAGGAATATATAGTACCAGTGTAACTCGCCCAAGAGCACTTTTATTACCCTGAGGACTGACCCCAACCATCTCACAATCCATGGCTACCTCATCTGTCAAACTACAAAAATAAAAATCATTACAACATAAACCAGCAATGAATAAGAACTCCGTCAATAATTAACACATACACTTTAGCTAAGTTCTCCTTGAGAAGAAATCACTATAACAAGTTCCAAGCGAAAAAAAAAAAGAAAAAGAAAGACAAAGGCATGTTGACAGGTGAGGAAGGAAATACAAATCATCAGTTGATACATGGAAATTACAAGACTACAAAATTGACACCAATACCATCAATTCTCCAAATTAATTTTAAATCAAATTCAAATTTCTGTTTCACTTAAATAGCTTGAACATGAATGATAATCCACCAACCTTAAGAAATATCAATATAGATTAACATTAATATACTGTCACATACGAACTAGAATTGCTAACACACTCTCAACTAAGAAAAAGGATTCAATATAACCCATGGGAAACAGAAGTTAAATTAGAATAGTTTTGAACATCCAAACTACTGGTCCAACAACGGTCGAAATATATCATCTATCCACATTACAATTGATATGCATACAGTCAAGTGTCAACTAAGTTCACTAATATCTCTAATATACAGGGGGGTAAAGTAAACATATAACAGCCCCGTTTGGTAGGCGATAATAAATAATGTAAAAGAAACCCGAAAGCGTGAAAGTGGTACCTGCAATCAGAGGAAGTAGGAGCAAGAACATTGACTTGAGACTCATCGGATTCTGAAACAGAGCGTTGTTTCCGTTTTCCTGCAAAAAAGAGAACAATTAAGCAAAGCAAACAATAACATTAAACTACAAACCACAAATTGAAGAGAAAGAGAAAGTGAAAGTGACCTAATATTGTAGGTGAGGAGCCGCCATTAGAGTGCGACGGAAGCTTGGGTTTGGAACCCTGAAGATTCAGTTTCTATGGAAGATAGCAGAAAAACATGATTAGTTTGTAGAAATGGAAATACGAAGAATTGAATTGAATTGAATGCAAAGGAGAGAGAGATTGAGAGATTGTACCTGTTGAAGCAGAGCCCAATTAGGGTTTAGAGGCGCCATTTTAGGGTTCTTCTTCTTCCTTACGACCTCACTCCCCATTTTTTTCTTTTTCTTTTACTTTGTCGGAAAGTTTTAAGTGATGGTGCTGCCAATTAGAGGTGAAATACGGAGTACAAGTTTTGGTACTACGATAAATAGGTCAAGCATGGCACTAAAATGGTCCATCAACTGGTGTAGGGGGACTTGATTGTTGACACCAGCAAGAGGTGATCAAAAAATCGGGCCTATGAGTATTACACCATAAAACTTAGGATTTTTTTTTACAATTATCACCTACAATTGTTGTTGTTTTAGGAATGGGAAATTATCAATGATACTCCGGACTTTTCTCAATGATACACTTCATTAAACTATCATTATCACCGGTACACCTAAACTTTTCCCTAAATACCTACCGTACCCTTTCCGTTAAAAAAAATGTTAGTTTTGGCTTTTTTTCAATTTTTTTAACTTAAAAAAAATTAATTATCTATTTTTAACTTAATTCTAAAAAGAAAAAACCTTCTTTTTCCCTCATCTCCCTTCCATGGCCTTCCTCCAACCACTTCCACCACCTAGGCCAACAACACTGTGGCGCCACCCCCACCACCACCACCACCACAAACCGCAAAACCCCCACAACTTGACAACCAACATTAACTCGACCCCCCAACCACGACCCTACCCCGAATCCACTTTAGCCACCACCGCTAAAAAACCACCAACGCCACACCAATTCAGCCACCACCATCCCCACCACCACCCAAACCAAACCCTAGAACCACCATCCCACTAGACCCGAAACCACCAACCAATCCAACCCCAAAACCCCATTAACCCAAACCCAGCCAACCTCAAAACCATTCAAAAACCCACCAAACCAAACCCGACATTGGGTTCGACGCGAAATCGGGGCAGGGAGTTCGACGCGGCTTGAATCGGAGGATGGGGGAGGTCAGCGACGCCGAAATCGGGGAATGAGGTTGGTCAGCAAGGTCGAAATTTGGGGGGGGGGGGGTGGGTGGGTTTGGATTAATGGGGGAGGTTATTGCTTATTTTTCTCTGGAATAATCATCCAAATCTTCCATCTTTATATGATTTTTCTCACTTTCTCTCTCTAATTGATGTTGACGGTGGTTGGAGATGGTGGTAGCGGTTGCAGTGGGGAATTGCGAAGCTAGAGGCGCTGCTCTAGGCAGTGACGGTGCTGTAATTAATTGAGGTTGATACAGGGGATGCGTGGCTGTTGCTGTTGTAGTTGTTGCGGTGGTGATTGGAGGTGGTCTGGATGTGGGAATGTGTGGGAGTTGGAGCTGGTGATGCGGTGAGGTGGCGAGCTACTGGTTGTGTTTGGTGGATGGGGTTGAAATGGTGGTGGCGCTGTGGGGGCGTGAAGTGGTGCTGCGTGGGTAATTGAGAGGAGCAGGGGAGGTATATTGGTGTGAATGGTGGAATAGGGGATTAGTAGGGAAGGTGAGTTTCGTTGGTTTCGACCATAATTAACGTTTAGTTAACGTTAAGGGTACGGTAGGTATTTATGGAAAAGTTTAGGTGTACCGGTGATAATGAAAGTTTAATGAAGTGTATCATTGAGAAAAGCCCAAACCTGGGGGGTATCATTGATAATTTCCCTTTAGGAATTACCACCTACAGTTTTTTTTTTCTTTTGAAATTTACCACCTACATTTTTCCAAAACACTAAAACTTCCCACCACTTTGACCAACCCCTCAAAGATGACGTGATCCTTGCTATTTCCCTCCGTTTTCTTTCTTCTTCTCTCGATTCTCACTTTCATCTTCTTCCACTTCCATCTAAATTGAGGCATAGCTTGAAATCGAATTGCTAAAAACAAAATTTAGGTTTTAACAATAATTTCTCTTACTTCACCACTCCAATGATTCCACGAAAAAGGTATGTTTGCTTAATTACTGGGTTTAGGTGCTCAATTACTGGGTTGAGGTACTTAATTTAGGGGTTTTTAATTGAATTAAGGGTTTAGGGTTTTCACTTTGAGAATTTAATTATCGGTTTAAGGTTTTTAATTTGGGAATTTAATTACTGGTTTAGGGTTTGGGATTAATTTAGGGGTTTTCAATTGCAGTTAATTTAGGAGTTAGGGTTTTCAATTTGATTACAAATAAATGAAAATTAATTAAACCCTAATTTCAATTGATTGATTTCAACAACATAATCAAATTCCCAAATTGGTTAAATCCTTATATCAATTGAAAAACTCCTAAATTAAGTCGTTCAGAACATGAATTTTGCAGACATACCTTTTTTCGTAACTGCATTGGAGATTCGAAGGAAGAACAATGAATTTTGAAATCCTAACTTTTTATTTTAGCAATTTGATTTTAGTATTGGTGTAAAATTAAAAAGGATAAGAAGAAGAAAAACTGAATATCGAAAGAGGAAGGAAGGAAAAGGAGGGAAAATGAGGGGAAGACCGTTTATGGGCCCAACCATGACGTCATCTTTCAAAATGGTGGAAAGTTTTATCATTTTCATAAAATGTAGGTGGTAATTCCTAGAACAGCAACAATTGTAGGTGGTAATTGTCAAAAAATCCTAAAACTTATGCCTAAATTCGCAAAATAGTATTGGATTTATCGAGCCTTTTTTGGACTTTTTTCAAGTCAGACTTGGGTTTATGAACCAAAAATGTTTTTAGCCTTTTCCAAATCCGCACTTTTTTTGGGTCGGGCTGATCGGGTTAGCGGGTCGGGTCATGGATCAAAATATCATTTCTAACATTAGCATGAATCTGGCACAAGCACAATGAATTAATCTGCATGTTGGCCTACTTATTGACCTTTACATCACAAATGAAATTTATAGTGTAGTCTTCAACAAAGGTGACTATTAGTGTCACATGTTTGTCAGAATTGTCGCACAATAACTTGTAGTGTAAGGCCTTGTTTAGTTCACCTGATCTGATCTGATCTGAACTTATATTTTCTGATCTGATCTGAACTTATATTTTCTGATCTGATCTGATCTAAACTTATTTTTCTGATCTGATCTGATCTGAACTTATATTTTCTGATCAGAACTTATTTTTTCTGATCTGATCTGATCTGAACTTATTTTTTTCTGATTTGAACTTATTTTAATTATTTCAATATTCTACTTTTCATGTTAATCAATATTAATGTTTAATTATTATTGTTATGATTATTATTACTATTACTATTATTATTACTATTATTATTATTACTATTATTTTTATTATTATTATTTTTATTATTATTATTATTATTATTTTTATTATTATTATTATTACTATTATTATTATTATTATTATTATTATTATTATTATTATTATTATTATTATTATTATTATTATTATTATTATTATTATTATTATAGACCTACAAATTTTTTATAGAAACCTATAAGTATTAAAGTTACTAGATCGTATAAAGTAATAGAATTGGAATATTTGATAATTTAATTATTTACAATATCCCACTTCATAAAAGAATTTTTTTTATAAGAAAGTATTAAAATGGGGATCCTAAAAAAACTAAATTACAGATTAAATTTATCATAGATTTTTTCTATATAGAAAAAAGAGATTTGACTTGTTTTCAAATACCTTAATTCTTAAATAATTATATGGATTTATGATGTATCGGATTTGATTTTATCGTTTGTTTGAACTAGCAACATTTTCTATGTTATTTTGTACTAATTGTAATTAAAGTAATGCGTAGCTATTATTATTGAAAACCTTATACTTATACTCCCTTCGATTTTAAATACCTTCTCCATTTCTACATGTGGGGAGTTTTAGGACAAATTGGTAAACGTAATAATATATGGAGCTTGTGGGGTAAGTGGAAGATTAAAAAAAAATGTATAAAGCAAAAGTATTTAATAGAATAGGAGGAAAGAAAATATGAAATTTAAAAAATCTTATTTATGGGAAACGTTAGGCTTGTTATCAAAAATATGAAATTAAAAAAAATGAAAATATACATAATATGTTGTACGAAGATATTAATTTTTTTTGTATAGGGAACGTTAGGCTCGTTTATTATTGCTTTTTTTTTTTTTAGGGAAAAAGGTAATATTTTGTAAGAAGATATTCAAATATTTTTGTTAAAACCACTTGATCAAGTATTATTGTTTTGATTTGAAGAGGGTGTTTCTAGGAAAAAACAAAGTATTATATTTCCCTCCGTCCCTTATTGATAGTCCTTTTTGGCTAAATTTTAGTCCCAAAATGTTCATCCACCTCCAGGTATAATTTAAAATAGTGTAATGAACGAAGTACAACTTAATACAACGAAGGAAATTTGAACTTCTTGTAATGAAAATTATATTTGTAAACGTTTATGATTTGGAGCTTATAATGAAATTTTAATTATTATCGTTTATTGTTTGTGCTATTTATTATAATAATAATAATAATAAATAATAATAATAATAATAATAATAATAATAATAATAATAATGACCATCATCATCATCATCATAATAATAATAATAATAATAATAATAATAATAATAATTTGTGTTTGATCTGAACTTATCTGATCTGATCTGAACTTAACTTATTTTTTCTGGTCTGATCTGATCTAAACTTAATTTTTCTGATCTGATCTGATATGAACTTATTTTTTCTGATCTGATCTGATCTCATATGAACTTATTTTTTCTGATCTGATCTGATCTGAACTTATTTTTTCTGAAATAAGTAAAAATAAAGTGAACTAAACAAGGCCTAAACATGAATAAGTTTTTGGGGTTTTTAATTGTGATAATATTTCGTGTAGCTAGATAAGCAAGTATTAACATTTTTCTTAATTATCTAACAATTATCTTGAAAGTGTCTTTGAAAAACCAAAAAAAAAAAAAAAAAAAAAAGTAAGAGAAATTACTAGTGGTATACTCCAGGTTTTGACTTTTATCAATGATACACTTGCTTAAGTTTTAATTATCAGCGGTACACCTATACTTTCAACTAATTAATTACCGTAAGCATTCCGTTAATTAAACGTTAGTTGTAGGTTAATGACTTGCAAATTTGACCAATTTTAACTCTCTCATTAGTTTCCCTCCTATATTTAGAGTAACCCACCCACCTTTGTCATTATATAAACGAAGTGCGCTCATTTTCTCTGATTTATGCAGCTTCTTCTTTATTTGGCTTTTTCTTTTTTTTTTATTATTATTTTCTTATTTCTTCTCTATTTTTTCTATTAAATACTGTACTATGATTAACATTGATGTCAGGAAAAGATACCAAATTTAGACGAAATTTTGGTAGTTACATAT